TGTGGTGAGTCTGCGGAACCGATTGGTTGTCGTTCTCGTCATTCAACGACTTATTCTTCTTCTTCAGACAGTAATTATGGGACGAATTCAGTGTCCGTTTCAGCGGTTTATTAGCGTTTGGGTCAACCGTTTGGTTCACATTTGAGATGTTTGTGAGCGCTCTCTTCACCACAGTTGCCATCATTGTCTCAATTATCAGATCCTCGACGCAATGCTATGTTAACAGTAATAATGACTTTGAATTAGATGTAAATTTTGTATAAATTATAAAACATTTAAATAATGGCAACAATTGGATGAATGACTGAACGAGTGGTCAGTGTATTAACGGCTCATTCACTCAACCATTGCTTGCATTAAACAGTCATTTAAATTGAATGCATTTCGCGGACAATAAGCTCATAAAAGTAATGCAAACATCGCGCACACAGAAATACCTACCAATTAATGACTAATACAATATAATATGATTTAAAATCAGCGTTCAATCAGTGAATAAGAAATGAATAAATACTAAAACAATTCAATACAAAGGGATTGAAAGCGGAGACCAACTCAGAGACAATTAAATGTCGTTTTCAAGTAATGTTCAAAATGTATGAAAACTTTAACTTTAAACTCAAACGCACTCCCATTGGTCGACACATCTGCCAATGGGTGTCAACGCGTGAGTCAATCAATGCATTTCAGTGAAGGTGTGTTTGTGTGCCATCTGTTGGTCTCTCCCATAGACTCAATGATTGCGACAATTATTGACAATTAATTTCATAACAAATCATTTGAAATCAAGTCTTCAATAATGTCACTGATTATCAAGTTTGCAGAGCTTTTGACACCAGTTCTTAAGGTAACCATTCATTTGTTGCATACATTGAGTCGATTTTAATGATATTTATGACGACAGGAATCCAAGTTCAAAGAGACTGGAGTTTTGACCCCCGAAGAGGTGTGTAATGAATGGTAACAAATGATAGCTAATAACTAATTGTGTGTTAATTGGTGGACAGTTTGTGATCGCTGGTGACCAACTGGTGCATCAGTGCCCCACATGGAAGTGGGCGACCGGTGATGAGTCCAAGTGTAGGGAATATCTGCCGAAAGACAAGCAATTTCTGGTCACAAGAAATGGTAATAAAAGGATTGAATTGCGTTTAACACTAACATTGTGTCTATTGTTTGATCCATTAGTTCCGTGCTTTAAGAGATGCAAAGACATCGAGTATTTGGAGGAACAGGAGAAGATCATAGATAAGGAGGACGGGGACGGCGGTTGGGTAGACACCCATCACTTCGCCAACACTACCGAACAGGTCCTCGAAATGACACTTTCGGCCAAAGATGGCAATAAATGCCCCGAAAAGTCAACGGTTGTGGCGAACGCTACCGAAGATTGCGATGAAGACGAAGACGACGGCGAAGCGGAAGATATGGAGAACTATTTGGCGTCCGGACTCATGGATGACGCCGACGAGGTATTGCTCACCAACTGTGCAATCGATGGCTTCAAATCCATATTGAATTCGTTTGTTAGGCGACTGTCGATGCAAATGAACTCAAAGCCAGTGCTTCCGCCAAAAGCGATGACCCGTTGGAGTCAGACATCGTGCCGACGCGTACTTATGACCTGAACATCACTTACGATAAGTACTATCAGACGCCACGACTCTGGCTCTGCGGTTACGACGAGAACCAGAAACCGCTTTCCATTGAACAGATGTACGAAGACATTAGGTATGACTCGACACTCAATTCAATATAAGACTGTGTTTTATATGACTGTATGGCTGTATATGACAGTCAGGATCACGCCAAGAAGACAGTCACTATGGAAACACATCCACATATTCCGGGCGGACCCATGGCCTCTGTGCACCCCTGCAGGTCTGTCCCAATGTTTGCCCTTTTCATGATCTATCCATTCTGTCATTTACTTCTTTACTCTCATTTGTTGTTTCTATGAATGAAAATGTTATTAGAGTTAAGGTAATAAAGAAACAATGTTTTCATAGTTTATTTCCGACTCTAATGTTTAAGGTTACGATAGTTCAGAAAATCCTCTCAACTACTGTACCTTTCCCTCTTACCGTAATTGTTATGTACAGAAATCCTATTTTCATTTGGTGTGCTTTATGAAAACCAATTACTCTATTATACATTTAATTAATTAATTTAATGACTTATTATAAGTTATAACTTACTATTAGTGAATCTAATTTGTATAACCCCTTTGTACCCTAGTACACTAACTTACGTAAACCATACAAAGGAATTAATACGAATAAAAACCAGATTGAGTAACACTAATGATAATAGTCAATTACTACCATTACAATAATCATTTGATACATTCAATTAGATTATAAATATTGGATTTGTTTTGGCTTTAACTGTAGGACATCTGCTAATACTAAATTGCAATAAGATTTTAAGCTATTAATCTTT